GTACAGAGCCAGACACAGGGCTCGAACCCACAGACCGCGAGATCATGACCCGAGCCGAAGTCGGACACTTAACCGACTAAGCCACCCAGGTGCCTCTGTTGTTGATATTCTTAATATTTGTTTATTTATTTTTGAAAGAAAGCAAGAAGGGGAGGGGCAGAGAGAGAGAGAGGGGGAGAGAGAGAATCCCAGGAAGGCTCCACACTGTCATGGTAGATCCCACGAACTGTGAGATCATAACTTGAGATGAAATCAAGAGTCAGATGCTCAACGGATGAGCCACCATGGTTTTTTGCTATTTAAGTAATCTCTCCACCCAACGTGAGGCTCGAACTCATGACCCTGAGATCGAGAGTCACATGTTCTTCTGACTGAGCCAGCCAGGCGCCCCCAAAGCTGTTGGTTTTTACGTTGCTCATTTCTTCATCTCTTTGTGAGCTAAATACACATGGGCCTCGTGGAAGTTTTCTTTTGTGGGTAGAAATTACAGAAAGGGGATGCGCTTCACATCTGGATAGCACATACTAGTGTATTAGTTGTCTTTTGCTGTATAGCAAGTCACCTAAAAATGTGATGGTTTAAAGCAACAATTTCTTGGATCAGGAGTGGCTCTGTTGGTTGGCTCTGACTCCGGGTCTGTCATGAGGTTACAGTCAGATGTGCCTGGGCTCGGCTCATCTAGAACGCTTCTTTACTCAATGCATCTGGTGTCTGTACTAGGAAGCCTCCGAGAGCTGGGGCGGGAACAAGCTGGAATTTCTCAGGAAGCTCTCTCCTTGATCTATTTGTGGGCTTTCCACAGGGTCTCTCCAGCACAGCAGCTTCAAGGTAGCCGAACTTCAAACATAGCAGCTCAAACAGAGAGGGAAAACACCAGACCGAAGCAGAATTGCCTCTCAGGATCTAGCCTCAGAAGTCATACAGCATCGATGTCACTACAGTCTCTTGGTCCAGGCAATTTCAAAGGTTTTCCCAGTTTCAGGGGAGGGAACAGAGACTCCACCTCCTGATGAACGAATGTCAATGTAACATTTTAAGAAGAGCATGGAGCGTATGTGTGTGGGGGGTGTGGAACCTATATGGGTGTGGCCATCTTTGGAAAATGCAACCTACCATACTTGGGCTTATAACCTGAACCAATTCAGTGGAAACTGAAGCTCAAAGCAGGCGCTGAGCAAGAGAAATTGTCCCACAAGACATGGACTAGAGGTTCAGGCCAGTCACATACAAATCTTAAGGAGCAGGGAAACTCTGAATAAGTGGAGAGTTGTATATCCACATTCCTGGATAGGAAGACTCATTGTTGCAGAGATGTCAAATTAATTTAGGGGTACCTGGCTGACTCAGTCAGTGGAGCACATGACTCTTGATCTTGGGGTTGTGAGTTCAAGCCCCATATTGGGTGTAGAGATTTAAAAATTTTTATTTTAAAAATAAAATCTTAGGGGCACCTGGGTGGCTCAGTCAGTTAAGTGTCCGACTTTGGCTCAGGTCATGATCTCACAGTTTGTGAGTTCGAGCCCCACATTGGGCTTTCTGCTGTCAGCACAGAGCCTGCTTCAGATCCTCTGACTACCTCTCTCTCTGCCTTGCCCCTACTGGTTCTCTCTCTCTCTCTTTCTCAAGATAAATAAATAAATAAACGTTAAAAAAATTTTTTTAACGTTTATTTATTTTTGAAACAGAGAGAGACAGAGCATGAACAGGGGAGGGTCAGAGAGAGGGAGACACAGAATCTGAAACAGGCTTCAGGCTCTGAACTGTCAGCACAGAGCCCGAAGCGGGGCTCGAGCTCACGGACCGCGAGATCGTGACCTGAGCCAAAGTCGGCCGCTTAACCGACTGAGCCACCCAGGCGCCCCAATAAATAAACTTTTAAAAAAAGTACTAACTTCTAAAAATAAAATAAAATAAATCTTAAAAATTGATTTATGAATTCCATGCAATCTCAGGCAAAATCGGAATGTAGGTTTCATGAAAGTTGACAAACTGATTCTAAAGATATTCTACTAGAGAAATTACATGAAAATAGCCAAGAAAATTTTTTTTTCAACGTTTTTTTTTTGTTTTTGTTTTATTTTTATTTTTGGGACAGAGAGAGACAGAGCATGAACGGGGGAGGGGCAGAGAGAGAGGGAGACACAGAATCGGAAACAGGCTCCAGGCTCTGAGCCATCAGCCCAGAGCCCGACGCGGGGCTCGAACTCACAGAGCGCGAGATCGTGACCTGGCTGAAGTCGGACGCTTAACCAACTGCGCCACCCAGGCGCCCCAAGAAAATTTGAAAAAGCAAATGAGAAAGGTCTTTCCCCACCACAGATCAAAACATACTGTAAGGGAGTTGTTCAAATAGTGTTCTATTAGCCCAAGAATAGATTTTTATGAAAAGAGAAAGACAAAAGACACACACACACACACACACACACACACACACACACACATTTATCACATCTGTTTAATTTATGGGAAAGGTCTTTATATTTAGTTTATGATAAAGGTTAAATTTAAAGTCATTGAGGAAAGAGTAGCCTAGTCAATACATATTGAGGCAACTGGATACATATTTAGAGAAAAATTCAAGTTAGATTTCTATATTAGTATACAAAAATATTTTCCTGGACTAATTAATTAAGGACCTAAATATAATAATAACAACAAACTATTAAAACCTAAAGGAAAATGGAAAATGTTTCTTTAAAAAAATTAAAAAAAAAACCTTTTTTAACATTTATTTATTTTTGAGAGAGAGGGAAAGAGAGAGCGTGAGTGGGGTAGGGGCAGAAAGAGAGAGACAGAGGATCAGAAGCAGGGTCCATGCTGTGAGCGCAAAGCCTGATTCAGGGCTCGAACTCACGACCGTGAGACCATGTCCTGAGCCAAAATCAAGAGTCAGGCGCTTAACGGATTGAGCCACCCAGGTGTCCCTACAAAAAAATTTTTTAGTTTATTTATTTTGAGAGAGAGAGAGAGCAAGAAAGCAAGGAAGGGGCAGAGAGAGACAGAAGGAGAGAGAGAGAGAGAGAGAGAGAGAGAGAGAGAGAGAATCCCAAGCAGGCTCCTCACTGTCAGCACGGAGCCCGATGCGGGGCTTGAACCCACAAACTACGAGATCATGACCTGAGCTGAAACCAAGAGCCAGATGCTTAACAGACTGAGCCACCCAGGTGCCCCTGGAAAGTGTTTCTTTTAAAAATAATTTTGTGATAAAAAAATTTTTTTTACATAAAAATAATTTTGTGGTGGGGAAAACTTTTCTGAGCAATACACAAAACCATGGAAAGATGCCCAAGTTTGACTTCATGACACTTTAACATGTCTTTACAATAAAAACGTATGGAGAAAGTTGAAAGACAGAAAAATATTTATAATATATATTAACAGACAAAGAACTAATATGGATAACACACAAAGAGGTCTTACAGATCAATAAGGCAAGCTCTATCAAACATTTAATGGAATATCTCATTTGAATCTCCTACAAGCTTTTAGAGGATAGAAAAACAAAGAACACTGACACTCATTTTGTGGGGTTAATAATAACTTTGAGTTTCAAACCAGTGATGGGCAGTACGAGAAAGGAATATTAGCAGCCGATCTGTCTTATGAACACAGATGAAAAAATCCTGTTTAAAGTATTAGCAGATTGAATATAGTGAACTATTGAATGATACATCATGACCAAGTTGGTTTCATAGCAGGAAAATAAGGATTATTTAAAGTTAGAAAATCTTGAGGTGCCTGGGTGGCTCAGTCAGCTAAGCATCCAACTCTTGATTTCAGCTCGGGTCATGATCTCACAGTTTGTGAGTTTGAGTCCTGCATTGGGATGTGTGCTGACAGCTCGGAGCCTGGAGCCTGCTTTGGATTCTGTGTCTCCCTCTCTCTCTCTGC